CAATACTTTGGCCATCTCATGAGAAGAGAAGACTTGTGAAGGCAAGAGGAGAAGGGGACGACAGAGGATGGGATGGTTGGACAGTGCCATCGAAGCTACCAACATGAATTTGACCAAACTCAGGGAGGCAGCGGAAGACAGGATGGCCTGGCCTGCTCTGGTCCATTGGGTTATGAAGAGTCAGACATGACTAAACGACTAAACAACAAAATAGGTTTCCCTGGTTTCCCATGAAAATGAAACTCTTCTTCATCTTCTTCTTTTTTATTTTTGTTCCTTGTTCTGTACAAGAAACTGCCAATTCTGTGCAGCTTAATACCATTCTCAGTGATTCCTGTTAGGAAAGATGTTGTTCTGCACAAAAGTTGTAATCACCCTGATCAGACTGAAATTTCTTTTAGCAAAAATAATCAGAAAACATCTGACAAACTCTATGAGGTTCCTCATAAGATTTCTGAGAAGCAAAAGCTCATGCAGAGTAATATCACTGCAAAGTGGGTTTTTCATCTTGTTCTCTTCATCATCTCTCCACAAGTGACCAGCAGCAAGGTTCACATCCTTAAGGGCTGTTCATGAACCCCAGAGAACAGGAGACATTCAATGAGGGGAGTATGTGATTGCTCTCAGTGGCCTCTCAGCACTTAATGTCACTGTTGGTCATCCCCTGAGATGCCCAGTGAGAACCACATTAAAATCATTGTTTGTGCCCTTGCTTCCATTAGGCAGCTGACACGTCCATTTAATGAGAGACAAGAATCATTACAAAAACCTTCCACATTCAGAAGTTGGCCCTTGTATGACACTGTGCTCCTCACAGGACAGTCACACTGCGATTGCTTGGCTTCTCTCACTTCTGCCTACAGAATGTTAACAGGAACTTTAGAACTTCTAGTTCTTAACAGCAGATCATGTGGGGAGCTGTATGTCTCTCACGTACAACCCTGAATATTCCTATCTCTCATTCTCTCAGTTCCACTTAGATACATAAATACAAGGAAATAAGTTCACAGAAGCCATCTCAAGCACTTCCTGTAATTAAGCTTCCCTCCTTTCTTCCCACCCCATCGCAGGACTTAAAAGGGCAAGCTGATCTCTGGACCTTCATAAAATGTTCCTATTTCCAATCTTCGACTCAATATATGTGCCCCGATTGCTGCCCTTCCCCACCCCCATCTTTCCTCATGTAATTCACAGGTATTTTTACTCACCTGGAATTAAATCAAAATTGCTGAAGTGAACTTCTAACCGGATCCACTGGGGATCCAATGGAGTTCCAATGGAGATTCCTGTTTCATTAGGGAACATGTAGCTCTACATAGGAAAATGGGAGGAAGAGAGATAGAGGGAAAGAAAGATCACAGTTCAAAGGCCACCTGTTCCTTGCTTTGCTTGGGAGAACATATAAAATCTCAAGCTATATATAGGCTACATTTCCCAGAATCTCCAGTCAGCAAATACATGCTGTGGCTATGTAGGCTGGGGAATTCTGGGAGATGTAGTCCCAAAAGTTACATTTCCCAGCTTTGAACACTGGCTTGTTTGGCTTCAGACCTGAGTGTTGCACAGATTCTGATTATAAATTAAATTCATGAAGACTGGAACTCTATTCCTAATTGTCTGTGAGTAAACCTCACTAAACTCAGTCGTGCTTCCTTCTTGGTAGACCCGTAGAGAAGTGCAGTGAACAGTGATTAATAGCCTTATAGAATAACTTTTCATTTCAGTAAGAAATGCCCACTGTATAGTGAATTATGCCCTGCAAAGGGTGAGAAAGCACATAAAGAATGGTTGATATTTAAAAGCTTCCAGCCTCTTTACTTCGGCTCCAGGGGAACAAATCCCTCCTTCATGAATAGAAATCGTTATGAATTAAAAGCAGTACAGTGCTCTTCCAGAGATTGGAATTCAGCACAGCGTTCTTCCCCACTTTCGAAAATTTCACATACTCACCCCACCTCCTACAGCCCAGCCCACCACAACCTGGGAACACAGGGCGAAAGCAGGATCAGCTCCATAGCAGTCACTGACACCACTTGGCAGTGCGCTGGCATTGCCACAGGCATAGACCAGAATGTGATGCACCAGGGTTATGTTCCGTGGTGTAATTTGGGGCTCAAACTAGGGACAGAGAAAAGACAGAAGGAAAAACCCATTAGCAACTAATGGAAAACAGGCAGACTTATCTCTAAATGATTAGCAACTAATGGAAAACAGGCAGACTTTTCTTATCTCTAAATGTTAATATATTGCAGAATAGCATCCCTGACTCACAACTTGTATGAGATTATTAATTAAGTAACCAATCAGAAGCTAAAAATTAGACTTCAAATTATGTTGCATTATATATAAAGATCTGGAGCTATGATGGACCACCATCCTTGCACTTTCTGTTCTAAGACAGTTCTCATGGCCAAAGCACAAATTCTAGAAAATCTCTTTCCAGTGCCTTCAATCATTCTCACCCTGGGCAACATTAATCCCTCGTTTAACAATGTATTCACTTAGCGATGAGTTTTTTTGAGCAATTTAACGCTCCGTTTAGCGATGTTTCCTATTGGGAAATTTTGCATAGCGATGTTTGTGACATTGCCAGACTTCAAATTATGTTGCATTATATATAAAGATCTTGAGCTATGATGGACCACCATCCTTGCACTTTCTGTTCTAAGACAGTTCTCATGGCCAAAGCACAAATTCTAGAAAATCTCTTTCCAGTGCCTTCAATCATTTTCACCCTGGGCAACATTAATCCCTTTATGCTCATGTCTCCATAATAAGAAAGAAATATCACTCATATGGCTCCTTTTCCCCCCCACATATACTGTAAATGTGTCTTTTTCTAGACACAAGATCTTTGTGTCATGTAGTGAAGACCTCAGAATGCCCCTCAGGACTTCCCTCTTGTCGTGCAGGTAAACAACACACTATGCATTGCAGAACAGCCTGCCAGTTTATATCTGTGAAGATTTTCAGTCATCCAGGTGAGATTATCTGGAAGCTGAGTCATGGCAACTGGACTTCTTTCTTATTAAGTTGAAACGTTTCGCTACTCATCCAAGTAGGTTCTTCGGTTTGAGCCAGCTTGTTACATCAGTATTGTTGTTGTTATCTGCCATTATGTCACTTCTGATATACAGCAATCATGACTTGGTCTTCAAAGGATATGAGATGTTCAAACAGTAGTTGACCATTGCCTCCACCACCCTGGGATTTTATGTAACTAAGAAAGGATTTGAACCCAGGTTTCCTGAGTCCTCGCCTAATGTATATTACCTGCTACAACACATTGGCTGTGGCAAGTCTTATTTAAAATTGTGTGAAGTGTGAACCCACCTCTTTTGGAAACTCATGCTATGAGGGACCAAAGACACTAAAAGTTTGTTTGGAGCCCTGGGATGTTTCTTCTCACTGCCCTCTTGACTTCTGATGCTATTATTTTCCCTCAGTTGATATATTCTGCTTGTAGTGTCAGAATATGGAGAGACAAAATGGTTTCCTATAGGCAAAGGTATCAGAAAAGGGTACATTTTACTCCCTTATCTGTTAATCTGCATGCAGAACACACCATACGGAAAGCCGGATAAGATTCAGATAAGAAGGAGTGAAAATTAGTGGAAGAAACATCAGTAACTGAATATATACAGCTAATGCCATTTTGAAAATTAGTGGAAGAAACATCAATAATTGAATATATGCAGCTGACGCCATTGACTGACAGAAGACAGCAATGGCTTGAAATGCCTTTTAGTGAAAGAAGAAAGAGCCAAAGCAGCAATGCAGTTGAACATTAAGGAGACAAATTCATAACTACAGAAGGATTACACAGTTTTAATACTGACAATGAAGAAATTGAAATTGTTAAAGATTTTGTATACTTTGGTTCAATCATCAATCCCAATGGAGACTGCCGCCAAGAAAACTGAAGGAAACTGAGATTAGGAAGGGCAGCAGTGAAATAATTAGAAAAGATCATCAAGTGTAAGGATGTGTCACTGGAGAACCAAGATCAAGATAGTCCACACCACTCTGTTTGTGATCACAATGTATGAGTGTGAAAGCTGGAGAGTTAAGATAGCTGACAGGGGGAAAAATGATTTGATTGAAATGTGGTGCTGGAGGAGAGCATTGTGGATACTCTGGACTGCTAGAAAGCCAGCCAAGCAATTCCTAGATCAAATCAAGCCTAGACTTTCTCTGGAGACAAAAACAATAAAACTGAGGCTATCCTCCTTTGGGACCATCATGAGAAGGCAAGAATCTATAGAAAAGACAATAATGCTAGGAAAGGCTGAAGGTAGCAGGAAAAGAAGATCAAATATGAGATAGATTGACTCCCTCCAGGAGTTTGAGTTTACAAGAGTTGAACAGGGCAGGTGAGGACAGGACATTTTAGAGGTCTCTCATCCATAGGATCATCATATATTGGAAGTGACCTGATGGCATGTAACAACAAGCATTTATGTGGATGAATGCAATGCCTTGGGAAATTGTTTTCATGGCATCTCCTAAAATAGGCCTATTGTGAGCTTTAGAATGATGAATACAGACTTCACTGCTTCCTTCCCACAATTACCTTGTAGATGTGATGTTTTGTCTTGACAATGGGCAGTGGGATGAAAGTGCAGGCATAAGTAGTGTCATCCACTGGAACAGGGAACTGGAAGTCGAAAACAAAACATGCACTGAATATTGGATAAGGTTGCCACATCCTGATCCTGGTGGATCCATGACTCAAGGGATTTGGGGAGACAGTTTTCATGTACATGGCTTTATTCCTTAGGTTGTTTTCAAGGCGAGTCACATCTTTGAAAAATGAAGATGGAAGAGACTTCCACGACAACCATGGCAAATGAATGAATGAAATCTATCAGGAAATGTCCTGTTCTTTGGTGTTCTACAAGGTTGATCAGGTTTGTTCTTAGGTTAGGTACTCACATCATTTAGCTTGAGATCGTACACATGATAGACCCTAGGGGGTTGCAGTTCCTCTTCAGTTGACTGCAGCATCAAGAAGAGAGATTTGTGGACTATTCTTCCTTTGAAGAAGTCGATTGTGTCATTTGTGCCATAAGCGGCAAGCACTCGCAATGTGTCCCCCTGTATAGGAAGACGTTAAGAGGAAAAGTTCTCTGTGCTATCACATTCTCACACATGTTTGGATACTGGCAAACTGGCAAGTTTTTGTGGTTTTTTTAAAATGAAAATTTCTCTCATTTTCCACAGTCTTTACACCATTCTTTATCGAGACTGGTTTACAAGGTTAAAACATACATAAAATCATGGACAAAATGTAAAGGAACGATCAATGATGCTCACCACCGTTTCAAATACATTTGAAATCTGGATGGTTTTGTCTGACACCAAAAGGCAAAACACACCAGCACCCATCAAGCACTCCAAGAAACATGTTCCATGCATGGGCTGCCAAAACCTGGAATGCTCTCTCTAGGTGTCACTTGCTTCCCTTTTGACAGAGGCAATGCATGGAGAATGAGGAATCAGCACATGTCCAAAGAGCATAGATGAGCTGATATGAGAGGAGTTGGATGGGATTGTTTAGGAGAGGTTTAAAATGAGGTGGTTTACATTTTGTTGGTTCTAAATCTCTTTTAATAATAAGCTTAGAATTGCAGAGCTGGAAGCGACCTTATTGATCATCAAGTCCTCATCAAGTCCAGCCCCTCTCAAGGAGGCATAGGGGGGAATCGAACTCCCAGCCTCTGGCTCTGCAGCCAGATGCCCAAACCACTGAGCTATCCACGCTGTCTAACATTCTTAACACACTGTTATTGATTTGTTTGATATTTGAATAATTCATTGTTTGTAGCTTTAATATATATTTTTTAATTTTATAAGCTGCCTTGGTTCTTTTCTTAGGAGAAACGCAGAGCAAAAATATTTAAAATAAAATAAAATAAATGAGCTTCTTTGGGCAACATACATTTGAAGAATAAAAAAGGCTTATGAAACCTGAAATAAATGCAGCAAGCATAAGACAGCATTGAAGAAACAGACTCGCCAAAGTTCGAAGCCAGAGGCCCAGTTAGTAAAGAATTTTATGAAAAGTTTTCTCAAAACATTATTTAAAACTCTGGGAAAATTATAAGCAGGTATTAAAAGAATATTAACATACCCGGTGGGAAAACATTCCGTAATTTCTTATTTATTTATCCATTTGACTTGTATGCACTCTGCAAGAGTGGGTGGGTGTTCTAAACAAACAAACAAAAAACGCAACCCTTTGCCTTGTGGACCCACTCTCCACATATCAGTTTGAATGTCACTTACATTTTGTAATTTAAAAAAATAATATTAATATTTCATATATCATAGTATATTTAATTGTACAGCTCTAATTGTGAGACAGATTGGGGTCCAATGGCTGGCTAAATCCAAAATAACAAGAAAGAACTTTAAAGGCCCCTTGATTTAGTGGAAGAGCTAACCATACTTTTAGTCTCTCCCATGATGTTTTTTTTAAATGTTGACAAAAAAAGAAGATTATAACACAAATTAAATACGAAAAACCATACTGAAGTCTGTTGTATTGTGAGCCACAATATTAGCTTGATTGAACCCTCCTCAGAATTTTAAGAGCTACAATCTTAATTACCGTGATGTCCAGATCATTTTGGTCGCATGTCCGGAAATATCTCTGGAATGCCATGGTGGTGGATGTTGCATCTTGTGTCAGTGACAGCAACTCGTAGTCTTGGCTTTCATCTTCCAGGACAGTTTCTTCATTCACACCATGCCAGTCCTTGGTGAGACAGAAAAAGCTAAGTTGCAAAGCCCAGGGAACCAAAAGAATCAATGTGCTGTGATGGGTTTCAGTCAAAGACACTTAGATTCAAATTCTACCTAATGGTGGATCTCCTTGGTTGGAGGAATCAACAGGTTGAAAAATCCATAATGTTGCATTTTCTGGTATAATATGATCCCTGTATTTTTAGCATGGTTAAGAGATGAGTATGGCCCCAGCTATAAACTGAGCTGGTGTTTATTAGGCACATATATCATGAACCAAACAGGGGGACTTACCCAAAACATTTGCCAGAAGGGGATCTCTGTGCCTCTGGCCATGAACTCTCTATGGTGTACACAGCAGAAGAGAGTACAATACTTTAGAAAGAACCCTACTGGTGGTTTGTATAAGGTTTGCATAAGCTGCATTTTGGCTAATTGATGTTGTACCAGTGCACATCATCAGATTCACAATGAATCACATGACCAAGATGCACCCTTTCACCTCATCAATTAGCTGTAATTTGCTATAGAAAGTTACACAAACTTTACTTGAACACTAATACGTTTCTGGCTAATTGCATCCATATTTGTGTGTCATTTCAAAGTGGAAATTGTCCCCTTTCTGTACATTCTAATATGTGCGGAGCTGAATAACCTTTAAAGGATCAGCTTATCTCTTCAACTTACCGAGAAATAGATATTGCCATCCGGAAGGACTCCACCAATTACAAAATCGGCCCCAGTTATCTTTTTGTTATGGGTGAAGCCGAAAGCCACCCACCCAGTAGACGGGGCTTGAAGTTCAAATGTCATCGTTGCATCTTCATCGTCATGGTCCCATCGGAGATAGATTTCATGTCTAGGGTCTAGAAATACAGAGAAACGCAATAGAGGAATTGTGTAGTGCCCAGAGCAAAGGCACAAGGTTGAGATGAAAAACAGGAGGTATTTCATCCCTGGTTGCCTCTTTGTTGTAGGACCCAAGTGCGCCTGCATCCTGCCTCTTACACCCTCCAACAGGGTTCTTTCTAACCCTTTGGTATGAAGGAGGAGCAGTTTATATGAGGGCTGGCTGGGGCTGGTGCCAGGGAGGAAGGGCACTGATTTTGGTGCTTCAATATCAGATGTTGAAAGGCTGGATAAATCTGCCACTTTACATAAGAAAATGGCATCCTTCCCAAAAGGAATTTTGGCTGCTTTTTTGGGCAAGAGATTCTTTGTCCAAGTGTTGTAAAAATCTTTAATGGCACTTCTGGCTTCCCAAAAGGAATTTTGGCTGCTTTTTTTGGGCAAGAGATTCTTCTTTGTCCAAGTGTTGTAAAAAATCTTTAATGGCACTTCTGCGAGTATATTTCACAGTGGAAATCTCCACCAATGAGAACATGGAGAAGTGCATTTCACCAAGTGTGTCAATATTTTTCTCTCTGCTGTTTGGTGACTTGCAATTTTTTTTTTAAAAAAGCAATAACAGGAATATCAATGATGATGACGATGACCACGACAACAACAGCAACAATAATAAATATAAGTTTTAATGGAAAACTTAAGTATCTGTAAAATATTGGCGCAGTGTGTGTGCTGTTCCTGATATTGCTGTTTTTTGTAACTCTGAAGGTGTGATTTCTGAGATGAATAATAATACATTTTTGGTTAACACTTGTATCTGTTATATACCAGTCAATATTTTTATAATTTTGATTGACTGTGCCTGTTATTTAACAGCAAGCAAACAAAGAAACAAACAATTCATTTATTCTGAGGGTACCCTGGGACTTTGCAACTTGCCCAAGTCCACACAGGCTGACTCTACAGAAAAGGAGAGTGTTAATCATTCGGGTTTTTTGACCTGGTTCTTCCGTATCTAGCCCAGGGCTCTGAAGATCTGCTGGGCCTCACAGAGATCCCTGCAACTGTATATGGTTCTCTCTGCCCAGGATGGTTTTCTGTTTCTCTTCCTAAGTTTCCAATTCAGTGAGAACAATTTCCTAAAACATGGGCTGGGGATTTTTGTTTAGGATGTGAAGGGTGAGGTGGAGCACTACCTAAAAATGCAGCTGTTCCCAGAGATGAACACTGGGTTGGAGGGGACATGGGTCTCAGTAGCCTGTTGGTTTGAGCCAGTGAGTGACATGGGCTCCTGATCTGTCATTGTTTAACTTCCATCCTATCCGATTACATAAAACCCACTAAGCTGCCCCACAACCCATGTCTCTCCTGTATGGGATGTGTGCTTGTTCACTTCCTCCTTCTAAACAGATCCATCAGAGCCAGAAGATACTAATCTGCTAGAAAGGGAGAAAACCAAGTTGAGAACACTTAATCTGTGTCTTTAGAAAGGGATTTCAGTGGCTCATATAGTCATACAGTATTAATCTTGGATTTTCATTTCCTTAGATGACATCTCTGCAATTTGAGTACATGGATTTGGCCTTCTGTTCTGTTCTTGCAGTGTCAGCTTCATCAATGCAGATTCTGTTGTTTGCTCACAGTAATGTCAGAGTTGCTCTGGCAAGTCGGAAGTCTTTTGGCAAGTATCTCCTTGCGTGTTGGAATTTAAGACTATGCACACTGTTACGGAGGAGAGATATAAATCAGCCAAACCCAACAAAATATCAAATACAACTGATTTGATGGATTCAAAGCATAGGTGCTTCATGATCAGAGCAGAAGGTGGCCCCAGTCTATGAGCTAAACTTTATAGATATACAGTATAATTACAAAATCACTGTAGCACAACAAACCCCTCAAGGAAATTGGAAACATGCTTCATTTTTTAAACGAAGAAATGAAATATTCAGGGAAATTCTATGGAACACCCCAAAACAATTTCCCCTCTGTGCTTTGTATAAGACAGGATCTATTTTGCATGGGAAGCTGACAGATCCATGCTGAAGAGGTTTCAAGCATATCACTAGAAATGGAAAGTGTGACTACACAATTGTTTGAAAGCATGAACCATGAAGAAGTGGACACTTGAAAGAAATAGGATTGGTTGTAGACCAGTTAGTGCTAACCTATGTTTCCTGCTGTGTAGCTAGCCAGTATTGTGTAGTGGATGGACCAGGATTCAGGAGGCCAGGGTTCGAATCCCTGCTCAGCCATGGAAGATCACTGAGGGTGCAGAACTGTCAAAACAACTCCTTAAATGCCTCACTTATTGTGAAAGCACTATTAGGGGTGCCGTAAGTCAGTTCTACGGACTCACTTATCTTGAAAGCCCTATTAGGGGTGCCATAAGTCAGTTCTATGGAAGCCTCTGTGCTGCAAGGTTGGAAGACCAGCTGTCGTAAAATCGAATCTACATGATGGAGTGAGCTCCTGTCGCTTGTCCCAGCTCCTGCCAACCTAGCAGTTCAAAAGCATGCAAATGCAACTAGATAAATAGGTACCACCACAGTGGGAAACTAACAGTACCACCACAGTGGGAAGCTAACAGCGTTGCCTGTCTAGTCATGCTGGCCACATGACCATGGAAACTCTTCAAATGCTGGCTCTACGGCTTGAAAACGGGGATGAGCATCGCCCCCTAGAGCTGGACACGACTGGACTAAATGTCAAGGGGAACCTTTACTTTTGCCTATAAGTCAGTTCTGGCTTGATGGCACATAACAACATAAAATTAAATAAAAGTGCTCTAAGAACTATAGGCAATCTTTCTACACCTTTTTTGAAGACTAATAGATTACATAACCATGTTTGTTTGTTTACTTGTTTATTTGTGTCTGTCTGTCTGCTTTTTTTCTGTTCAAGTGGAGTAAAGTCCATTAGAAGACAAGCTTCTACTTTGTGATTGGTTGTTGGAAAAGGAGAATAATGAAAGTCTACAGGCAGAGCCGCTTTGAGTAAAGATAAGAATAACGAGGTTCCTGGGAAAGAAGAAACCTGAATGTCTTTCTTCATCTCTGTCCTTTAATAGGATCTGAGAGGTTTCCAGGAAGAACAACATGTCAATGTGACAGCAAGGAGAGATAAGGATGCATTAATGGAGATAAAAGAATAAATAGGCACTTGTAGAATACTTAAGATCTGGCACAGAATGAAGAAAGATAGAGAGAATTAAGTCCGTGTGTGTGACAATGAATATATTGAGAACTCATGCTGATAAAAGTGTCCTACTCCTTCCCACCAGGCTCATGGTGGGGAGGAGTAGGACATGTGCACTGGTCCAGATGGGGTGAGGCCAGTGGTTGTGACTAATGGGCTGCTTTAATCAGGCCATTGTCACTGGGAGTGAAATGAGAGGAAATGATGCTGGGAGAGGCAGGCAAGCAGACAAAAATCTGGAATAGAACGGAAAGGAGGAAAGTACTGTATTCCAGACGTTCCTAAACTGTCCATTGCTTTGGTGGATCTCAAGGCGTGTGTTTTTTGAGGGAGGGAATGTCAAAAAGAAAGTAGTTATTTTATTCTTACATGCCATGCAAGCATTGACCTAACACAGAGCCAGAGTGGATAAGCCAGTTAGTGTGTCATTAGAAGGAAAGCTTAAGAGGTAAAACATGGAGCGTAATACCCCATAGATGTAACACGCTATGCAATCACAGGTTTGCAATTGCATGAGCTGAAGAATTCTCTATTGAAGCAGTGGGGCTTCTACATGCACAAAGCATGTAAAAAAAATACATTTTCCCCTTGTGCAAATGCTGAGAAAAACAGCTGCACATGGAACTGATTGTTGGCAACAATAGCAAAGGAATTTACGTGGCCTTTATGTTGGTATTTTGTCTTCTTTCATTTGGTCCAGTCTTTCCTTGCTGTATCAAGGTGTACTTGGGTAGGTGGATGATTTAAAAATATTGAACAATACAACCACCACATTAAATAATCCCAGGGATACAAACCAATCTGTATAAATGGTTAAAAATGCAAAATATCACTGGATATTAAAACAAATAGGTTCTAAAAGGGCCTGCTGAAATAAAATTGCTTTCAGATTCTGTCTAGAAAGAGGAAGCGAAAAGGCCTGGCATACATCTTGTGGAAGTGACTTAAACATGAATGGCTAAGGTCAAATCTGGTTCAAGGAAGGTTAAAAGGTTAGTGCAAAAATGGATGTTATGGAGATTTCTAGTCAGCCCAAGATTGGAATAAAACCTTTAACTAATGAAACTGTCTGAGTATCAATGCCGGAGCTCCTTTCACCTTCCAGAGGTTTCATATAAGCTTGTTTTGTTTGGTGAGCTTGATCTTCAGGACCTAAGCACTGGATTCCTCTGAAGTCTGATACCACAAGCCCAAAAGGCGACCTCCATCACCTCTCTCCGACATTAACATGTTTTCAACTCTCAATAGAGTTTGCCTTTCACTGGAATATTTTAAATAAAGGTTGGATGGCTATCGTTTTAGTGATGCCAATTTCCGGCTTTGGCAGAGGCCTGGACTTTATGACCTTCAGAGTCCCTTCCAAATCTACAAGTCCATGATTCTACGACCTCTAATGTTTGTTTCTGCTCTCATTTGGCGCACCACAGGAACTGGATAAGAAGCTTTCCCTCTGAGAAGGAATAAGTCCAAATAAAGAAATTTTAATTAACCAGAAAGGCCACTCTTCCCTATGCATTATGTATAGGCTGATGGTTCACCAAGAAACCCACTGGGCAGAACTGGGAGAACTGACATCTCTTGCAACTCCCAACCCAATAATGTAATACAAACATCTCTATCAAAGACTCTTAGAGCTCCTTGCCAGTAGGGGGCAGTGCTGTATAAATGCTAGACATATAAATACTATGGTTGCTCTCAATGTGATTTTCTTTCCTAAAATAAACTATGTGCGGGGAGAGATCTGCATGATACTGTCTAGCCTGGCTGGATGCAGCTGTCCATGGTTTCAGATAGAGATATATGCCAAGCCAGCTCCATAAGATTGCTCCTTATGCAATTGACAAAATAGTTTGGGGCTCAATTCATGTTTAGTGCAATTGAGCAGTCAGTCGTAGCAGGATGCACCGTTT